AAAGAGTTGAAAAAAGCATTTATCAACAGCTTTTAGCTTTCAGATCCAATAAGCCCATTTAACACTGGCTATCTGACCGTTAAATGGTAATGAATCATCAAAGCTTATATTTGTTTATGTTGTTAGAAACAATATGACTTGCAATAAGCATTTAATGGCAGCAATTTAATAAATCTAAACTGATAAAAAACTTATCAGGAGCCAATAATCTGCCAATAAAATTTATTGACAGGAACTACACGGAGGTCTCTGTTAGTGTTGGGGATAAAATCAGCCTGGGCCCTTTGTGGATGATGGATATTTGCCAACTCATACAGAGCTCTGGAAATTGGAAATGAATAGCAGAGACGTGTTCAATAACCAATTCAAATTGTATTCATACGTCAGTTATATTTATAACCCATTTTCATAGCAGGATGGGAGGGGGAAAAATGACCATATGGGCGTGACAATGACATTGTTTTTCACAAGTTATAAACAGCTGTTTTTAGTTATAATTCGATGTTACATAATGTATGCATATTGGATAAAACCCAGATGATTACAAATACCGAAATCTTGGACAATTAACAAGGTCATTCCAGAATCCTTATCATGTCATGTCATGTCATGTCGTGTCATGCCATGTCATGTCATGTCATGTCATGTCATGTCATGCAAATATCTTTTTTCCAGGAACATAACAAAATCATGTTTCAATAACATTTCTGAGAATTGGAGATACAATTCCAAATTTATTCTTGATTCAAATTAACCCTTACATGAACAGTTAGGATATAGAGCAAAATGGATATTCGCATCTACAATTCCCCTCTTAGATCATATCATGATCTACCTTATGGAATATCCATGGGAGGCCTGCGGCAGAGAAACGAAAGGAGGTATATTCAGGCGTGCTAATCACGTCTGCGGGACTTTCCTTATTTCTTCACCTCGATTTCCCCCATTTGCTCTATGCCGTAGGTTTTCCCTTTAAGAGGAGATCGAGCTGTCGATTTTCAGCTTCTGTAATCATCTGTTGTACACATCTTTTAAGTGTACAAGTTAAATATTTCAAACAGCTGACATCTTAACTGCACATCATGTTATCTGCAACTTGAGCCTTGGATCAAAACAGGCAAAGTGTATTATTCCCAACAACGGGAATATTATTATTATAATTCACAACGTAAACACATATAATCAAAAATGGGAATAAAATCTATTTCCCCTCTTTGGACCAGGGTCTTGGATTACCAGTCCACCCAGTGAACTTGGGCCAGGTCAAAAATCCCAGTGGCAAAAACTCATAATTGAGAAAAAAAGCACATCTGGGTAAATTCTAAGTGAGGGCCATGACTGTGTAAACATGTCATCCCCTCACGTTGACAGCATTAGTGACTTATAAAACCTGCACTATGTAAGTAAATAGCTCAGGTATCGGGATTGGGAAACACTTCTTGATTAGTTTGAAAAGGCCCACTTACATATTAAATCATAAGATCATTTCTAATCAGTTTGCAATTCTAGCAATAATCCCAATCATGACCTTGCGTCCTATGCCTCCTAATCAAATCCCTATTTTGATGGTCCAGTCATATCCACACTTAATACATTGGAATCCATCCTTGGTACACTTAACATACATCAATGACACACATAGTACATCCATGCCTGAGTAAGCTAACACTTCCTCTCTCTCCAGCTAACTCTACAAAAATAAAAATAAAAATAACAAAATAGTTCAATAGTCCAGCATAGTCCAGAAAAATATTATAAGTCTTTCAAGGAGTATAAAGAATCTTAGACACCATAAACTTTGTTCCATAATCTTAGACACCATAACATAGCTAAGGGTAGCAATATGGCTGACAACAAGACAATGTCAGCTTCCACATAGTTCTTAATTCTTCTGTTTGCTGGATGTTCACCACAATACTCTGTGCAACACCCCAATTGTTGAAAGGGTAATACAGAAATAGCGGCATTAGACAGCACTGCATCTTCAGGACTTTCCAAGTTAGTTTATGTCCTCATAAGTAAGCATCTCAGTTTCTTCGGCCAGCATGGATTTTGACCAAACAGATTTAATTTCAAAAAAGGTAAGTAGGCAGGTAGGTCAGCCAGAGAGATTGGTGTGTAGTCCCAAATATCAGGCAGCACAAATACTCCAGTACGGTCTCTATAATCATACAAACACAAGGATCAGTACGACATCAATAAATTAATTATCTAGGCTAAACTCAAATTAGAGACTAAAGTTAAACTCTTAACTAGTGTAACATGTACTTCTCTCAGTTTTGTTTATGTCCTTTATAAAATTTTAATACATAATTTCCCTTTAGAATGCCTTGTATGGATGAGAGAAGCACTCATTCTATATAAATGCTTGTTGAGTACTAAAACACTAACATATACATATTGGTATAATTCCCAATAAAATGCTGTTCTTAAACTTAAACCTTGATTTGATAATCTCAATTAATTACTTTAATAAAATTTTGTGGACCCTGATAACATCTTTGGAAACCCAAACCTTTTATAGATCCCGATGTGTGTGATCATGTTTTAATACAGTTATCCCACTTAAACAATATATTTTTTTTTTTTCAGAACAACTAGGAATGAAATAGGAGAAACAAAATAAATTACTATTGTTCTAAAGTGCTTTGTTTAATACAGGTTTAGGAAGAGTTGTCTTGCTGTGTTGCAAGTGGCCTCTGATAAGGAAGGGACAGCAAACTGTAGACATATGTTATATTAAGTTGCTCTCACTTGTCAGGTCTTGGAAACCCACTTAATTTATTGCAGATGCCTCTATTATACCACTTTACAAATTGACTAAGCATACTTATTATCCTATTTTATTTTAGTTATTTCACATTGCACAGCCTATGCAAACAATGTCTAGGTCCCAACTTCAACTTGTACATCCTCTAAGAGCCAGCATTAATACTGTTTTATCTATCAAAACTATATATAAAGTATTAAAAACATGAACCATCTGTGTATTAGGCTGAGGTTGTTGGGTGTGGGTATAGCTTGAAAGTTGTGGTTGGTATTGAGGAACCTGCCAGGGTGGGAGTCCTTGAATGCCAGCTGGGCCAGGTTGACCAGGAGAACCGGGTTCACCACAAGCACCTTTGGGTGAATCCATGCTATCCATAATTAAAACAGTGCTGAAGTTACCATCTCTACAAAAGTTAAATACTTTGATCAAATTCTCTACCTCTGCCTCTAAAACTTTTCTGATTCAATCTATCACCTCCAAACTTTCTTTGTCTCGCCTGCTTAAGATCACAATCCTTTTGTGACCGATACAACATACTTTTCCCTCTTTCTTTATATCCAAAACAACGTGCTGTATCTTTCTCATGAATCTTCCCAAGAAATTCAGTTCAAAGAGGGCCAGTCACAGACCAACAGTTTGACCAAAAGTGAACAAGGAGGAAGCATATTCCATATGAAGGTCGAGATGACCTAACTCACACCCCCTCTTTGTGTACACCTATTTGTGTACCACACAGATATAATATTAATATTAATAGGCTTTTGAAGATTTATTGTGCATGTATAGCACGGTCTAGGGGTGTATACATAAACAGTGAAAGCAGAGTCTTCACATAGGGTTTGCAATACTGACAGTCTGTGTCATAGGTGTAATACAGACATGCGGTTAGGAACTTTTCCATTGTCAGAACACTAATATATTGCAAATATTAAAATCATATTGCAGCTGTTTCCTATACCTGCAAGGATATGGTTTTAATACTTCAATTGAGTTCAAATTGAGTATCAAAAATTCTAACCACAAAAACTAAATTTTGTATGCTTATCAAAATGAGTTTAACCCCTTAGCAATTTAATAGGGTGACCTCTTCCCATAGTATGGTTCCTTTTATTATTATTATATTATTTATTCTCTTCTGGGTCTGCAAAATGCTTTCAATATACCAATACAAATATAATACAGTAGTTTAGAATTGCCTCAGAAGAAATTATCTGATCTCTATTAAAAATACCATTTCATCATTTTCCTATAATCAATGAGGCATACTAGATGAATCTTAATCTTGGAAAAAACCTATCCTATACATCCATAATTTTTCTTGTTATATAACCATATAACAACACATTTTTCTTTTCTTAAATAATGCAATGCACTTTAAAAGTAGCGTTAACTCTAAATACTCCCCTAATAATACTGAAACGTGGATCCACGATTTTGAAAAGCAAATTATATATTTTTCTTTTTCTTTCCCAGGGGCCCCTTTCTTGTTGGCTGATCAGCGTTTTTTTAATCTGTTGTAAAAAGACACTAAAGGCTTGTGTTAATGACATGCAAATATTCTTTAAATATTCTTCATACTCATTGTAATATCACACATCAACTTATAGCACAGAAAACATGTAGCAGATATCCAGCAGACATGCCAATACAAAAATCATATTCTTGGACAGGTAATTAACTCAATCCAAAATAAATTAATAAATGTCACACTATGTGACGGACATAATTTGGTTCTCATATTTGTGCATTATGCATGTCTGCAAACAATGCAAGCAGTACTGCTTTAAGATTAGATCAGAGCACCTGGCAACTGGACAGGAAAGTCAAATTTTGGCAGGAAGTCCATTATTGCAACAGAATTTTGGAAATCAGCTAAAATTTACAAAAACAGACTCCCTCCTTTTTTTCTTTCTTAAGACTACAACTCATATTGCTCTTGGACTAGTATTCTCTAATAAATCAGTTATTTTATAGATTATGACGCTGCCATTTCCATTTGTATCAATACTGATACTCAAACTTATTCAAATATAATTTAAAATAACACAGTAAAATACTCATTAACATACATGACAATTAAACTGCGCACTTCAAAATGAGTACCCAAAACAAACATTTATGACAATCATCATTCACACAGAATAAACTTCTAACAGCTGTATTCAGAACATATTATTGTAAGGTATACCAATTTTAGTTTGTATTGGATTTATTTAAGATTTCTGGTACCAAAGGGTTTATTTTTTATTTTTTTACAGAAGGGATCCCGTACGGCCATATAACTTAAACATTTGTATAACACTTGCATTAACCAGTTGCAACATATGTACCCTGTCAATGGAATTTCTCTCTTATACGCTTATAGAACATTTGGACCAGATTACACAGACATGGTATCACCTGCATTTGTCAGAACTCTCAAAGACTCAAAATATTTATACTACTCCATGTTAAAGGCATGGCAAAACTTTGACCGGTCAATTTGAGTTTCCAAAAGTCATATCAACACAGGTAAAAACCTTTGTCCATGGTTTTCTGATCCTACATTCCATGACCAAAATTTCAAACCCACTTCTTCACAGTTTGGGTCGCAAGCAATAAAATCTCAGCAACCCCATACAATAATTTACAGAATACATACAATTTAAAGCACATACAACATGTGACGTACTGGAATACTACAAGTTAGCTTACAGCACAATATGAAGCATGTGTTGGAACGCTGAAAATATACATTTTGCTCTCTAATTCATAATCATCTAAATTTACAACATAAGTTCTCTGCAACAAACACTCAGGGCAGAAAGAATGTGGTGTTTGACGTTTTGAATGAAGTGACTTTTTGTCCCAATATGAAAATAAAGGGCTCATCATATAAACAATCATACATCCCACTCTCATGAAAAAGTGTAGTGGGCTTATAGTACTTTTGTCCAAGTATAAAAATAAAGGGCTCATTATGCAAACAAACATACATGCAGAGAAATCATGTTAGTTCTAGAATTTGTAGCCCCCCTTAAATAACCTCTAGTTTTTTTCTTATTCCTCATCACCATTAGATGTACTTTTTACATTCCCTCAATTAAGACTTTATGCTTAAAATCAGCGTTGCACATCATAAAATAGCACATAAATTAGCAAGCCGGAGTAATGCCAAACATCCATCATACCTTTTAACCCCCTTTTTTTTTTTTTTTAATAACCATTTTAGTCTGCAAAATTGACATCTACGTTAAATAAATACCACAGTCCACCAAAGACTGGAAATCTGTTTTATAACCTACCAAAGGCAACCTCTACCAAAGAGGGATCTAGGGACGTCTCCCATATGTAAATGTACATCACAGGACATCACAGCCTACCAAAGGCTTGAAATTATTTTTAACACCTGGCCAAAGGTGAACCTCTTACCAAAGAGGAAATGTGCACAATAACTACTACTACCTACCAAAGGCAATCCTCCAACCCGTGGAGTAATAGAAGTCTACCTAAGACTTAACAAAATACCATGTCTACCAAAGACATTATCCTGTGAAAATCCCCTTTAAAAATGTAAATAGTGAAAAACCCCATTAAAACAAGAAATGCAATGTGTGGGAGGATGGCAGAAGCAGGCAAAGGTCCCCAACCCCTTAAGGACACACGACAGAAATACTCCGTCATGATACCCTTAAATTCCAGAAGTTGTGTCCCCAAGGGGCTAAAGACCCTCTTACCTGCTACTCCGTTCCCAATTGCACCCAAAAACTTCTGACACCAGTTTGTTGGGGATAAAATCAGCCTGGCCCTTTGTGGATGATGGATATTTGCCAACTCATACAGAGCTCTGGAAATTGGAAATGAATAGCAGAGACGTGTTCAATAACCAATTCAAATTGTATTCATACGTCAGTTATATTTATACCCCATTTTCATAGCAGGATGGGAGGGGGAAAAATGAGCATATGGGCGTGACAATGACATTGTTTTTCACAAGTTATAAACATCTGTTTTTAGTTATAATTCGATGTTACATAATGTATGCATATTGGATAAAACCCAGATGATTACAAATACCGAAATCTTGGACAATTAACAAGGTCATTCCAGAATCCTTATCATGTCATGTCATGTCATGTCATGTCATGTAAATAACAAAATCATGTTCCAATAACATCTCCCGTAAATAGATAAGTCATTGTGACATGAGATACAATTCCAAATTTATTCTTGATTCAAATTAACCCTTACATGAACAGTTAGGATATAGAGCAAAATGGATATTCATATCCTACACATTTAGGAGTCAAATCACTTTTGTTTCTGTTTATGCAGCCCTAGTCACATCTCCCCTGGCTACACCCAACATGAAAAAATGGTTTTATGTGATCTCTCATTATTTCTCCACTAGGATACAAAGAGATGAGTTCTGCAATAAGAAGACAGAGCAATGTGTTTCAACCCTAATTTGTATTAAATATGTTAAATTGATTTATGTATTTTCTTTTTTTATCTCATAGACGCAACAAAACTAATGACTATAATAAGTTCCCATCAATTTATACAGGAGTATCATATTTCTATTTAATGATATAAACATGCAAAAGCCAAACAAATGTATTATTAAACACATATTTAAACAGCTTTATTTTATTAACAATTTGTAATTGAATTACATTTACTTAATATGGAGTATTAACAGCAGCAAAGGCATATATATATACACAAGGTCTACTTGGAAAGTATCCAGCCACGTAATATGAAAAATAGAGACATTTATTGAAGATGAAACATTGTACATAGGATAATGATGCCTCAATTCCCTTCAAAGTAACCACCTTGGGACTTCACACAATTTTACCAGCATCTCTTCTACTGTTCAAAACACTCTGCAAAACACATCAGCTGCTACATCATGTTTACCCGAATCTCATCAATGGTCTGAAATCTCTTCCTTTCGATGGTGATTTCAGTTTTGGGAAAAGCCAAAAGTCACGGGGCACCAAATATTTTAACAGTTTCTTGACCATATTTGAAGCGTTTGTGCCACACTTTTATTTGCACTTCACTCATTTAATAATCCGCAAAAGCCTTCTAAATCATCTGAATACTTTCCACTAAGGAATGTTCAAGCTTAACGCAAAATTTGAGGCAGATTCACTGATCTACTTACTCAGCAATTTTGGATGCGATGGCCACACAGTACACATGCTCACTCAACGGCGCCTAGTGCCTCACTGTCTAGTACAGTTAAGTCATCATTGTTCACGCATGTGCATTCCAGTCCACTCTCCTTGGCTGCCAGGTTACACTGATGTTGCAGAAACCATTCTCGTTTTATTAACAATGACTGGATTTTTTCTGGACAGGCATCGTATAGATACAGTATCTCACAAAAGTGAGTACACCCCTCACATTTTTGTATATATTTTATTATATCTTTTCATGTGACAACTCTGCTACAATGTAAAGTAGCAAGTGTGCAGCCTGTATAACAGTGTAAATTTGCTGTCCCCTCAAAATAACTCAACACACAGCCATTAATGACTAAACCGTTGGCAACAAAAGTGAGTACACCCCTAATTGGAAATGTCCAAATTGGGCCCAAAGTGTCAACATTTTGTGTGGCCATCATTATTTCCCAGCACTGCCTTAACCCTCATGGGCATGGAGTTCACCAGAGCTTCACAGGTTGCCAATGGAGTACTCTTCCACTCTTCCATGATGACATCACGGAGCTGGTGGATGTTAGAGACCTTGCGCTCCCCACCTTCCATTTGAGGAAGCCCCACAGATGCTCAATAGGGTTTAGGTCTGCAGACATGCTTCGCCAATCCATCACCTTTACCTTCAGATTCTTTAGCAAGGCAGGTTGTCTTGGAGGTGTGTTTGTTATTATGTTGGAATACTGCCATGCGGCCCAGTCTCTGAAGGGAGGGGATCATGCTCTGCTTCAGTATGTCACATGTTGGCATTCATGGTTCTACATGGTTCTGGGTTTACAGCCATGCAGACCAATTTGATGCAGTGTGCTGCGTATGGACTGAGCAGTGGCAGGTTGGCCCCCCACCCCTTCAACCTCTGCAGCAATGCAGGCAGCATCTATTTCCCAAAGATAACCTCTGGATATGACGCTGGGCATGTGTACTCAACATTTTTGGTCAATCATGGCAAGGACTGTTCTGAGTGGAACCTGACATGTGAAACCGATGTATGGTCTTGCCCACTGTGCTGCATTTCAGTTTCAGGGTCCTGGCAATCTTCTTACAGCCTATGCTATCTTTATGTAGAGCTACAATTCTTTTTTTCAGATCCTTCAGTTCTTTGCCATGAGGTGCCAGGTTGAACTTCCAGTGACCAGTATGAGAGAGTGTGAGAGTGCGATAACACCAAATTTAACACACCTGCTCCTCATTCACGCCTGAGACCTAAGTATGTTTGTATGTCCTAGGGAAAATCCTGGTCTGGTACTGAAATGTTGAGCATTTAACTTGGATTTATGCTACAATGAAGAAGATTAAGTTTTCCAACGACTCAGAGTGTTGGTACTATTGCGGATTGTTATATATATATATATATATATATATATATATCTATGTATGTATGTATTAATTCTTTATCCCAAAGGACACAAACAATAATCAAACCCTTGCCATTTCTTTCCTACCAGCACATGTATTTGATCCACTTATTTGGAATAGATTTGGTAATTATTTTGTTAACAAAAATGTATTTCTCCAACAAAACCTATTTATTCACCGTTTTTACTAAGAATGAATGCCAAAATTTAGTCAGTTTGGCTTATTTGGTCTTAAAGGCATACACCAAAAACACTTTGTGCAGCAAAATCTGTTTTTGTATTTAGTGTTCCATTAATTTTGAAATTCACTTTGAATTCCCTTTGTTGGCACTAATTGTTTTACTATGCATGGCAATTTGGAGGTTTTGAATTGAGATATGTTGTTATTCTACTATTTTAATGTATTTGTATTTTAATGTTAGCTGGCAGGAATAGTTAATTTTATATAATTAATTCCAGGAACATATAGTGATGTTTTTATTTCTAAACTTGTAAAATGTCTTTGACATTCTCAAGACAGATACAGCAGCAATTGTTATTTTTTTACCTCTGGATTCCTGTAGATATGTATTGTTATAACATCTTGTCCACCTACTCTGCTCAAGTCACTGAACCTGAACCTGAAGGACGTCATTGACCATGCTTGTTGATTTCCTGCTAGCAAAGAAATTTCACATGCTATTTCCTTGTCTACTCACAGGAAGGTCTAGACAGAAATTATTGGCCTGCACACGAACGGAAATTATTGAGGACATAATTTCAGCTCCGCAAGTAGCAGTAGTTTTCAAATATCAGAACATTTTGCTTCTGAATCCATTTTTGCCATACATCACTGAGAATCAGAATACATGACCTTTGATCGGTTCCCTTGACACTACACTTTAGTATAAGGGTATTAATGTAGGTCTATTGACAAATATTTACAATTGCAAGTAATTACAAAGAATTACTTTGACAAACTCTGGGCCTTTCCCAGCATTAATTGTATGATTTACACATGGATTAGACATTAAACACAAGAAAACAAAACTGTCATTTAAATATAATAAAAATAATAATAATAATAATAATCATTATTATTATTATTTAAATCCTTTGTTTATTTACCTTGCTTTTGTCATTCTTCTCATAACCAACAATGTTTCTAAAACTTCAAAAAAATTCCATTTTTGCATCTGTGAATGTGGATCTATTGGCACAGACTTAAAATAGACTAAATATAATTTTTTTATGTACAGAGACCATTTTCTGTCTTAGTAGAGATTTGGAGAGGTTAATTAGATAAGAGGACTGGGATATTAACGGTTCTAAGCATAGGTCACTAGATATAAACAGCAGTGGCGTAGCAAGGCGTGGGTGGGGGGGAGGCATATTTTGTGGGGGCAGCCAGGTTCCTGCTTCCACCTTCTGAGCGAGACCTGGCAGCGATCCTGCTCTGTTTGCCAGGTCTCCGTGTGGTGCAGAGAGAGAGGGGAAGAGGCAGGACAGGAGGATGGGAATTGAGGTCACTTCCTGTGCTCTCCTGTCCTGCGGAGTAACGAGGAAGAGCAGCCTGGCAGAGACACCAGGTAAGTTCTTCCTTGCACAGATCCCCTCTCCCCCTCCCTCTCCTACACAGATCCCCTTCCCCCCACCCTCCCCTACACACATCCCCTCTGCCCCCCACCCTCCCCTCTACACATCTTCTCTCCCCCACCTTCCCCTGCACAGATCCCCCTGACAGCCCCCTCCCTGCACAGATCCCCTCTCCCCTGCCTCCCCTGGGGTCCCCTCCCCCTCCCTCCCTCCCTCCCTTCCCTCCCTCCCCTGCACATCATTCTC